TTTCTAATAACGTGTTGATATAGCCTGAGCAAAAGTTAAATTACAATTGTATTAATACATATTGAGAGATTATATCTTTTTGTTATTTTGTTTTCATGATTTATTTTTTAAATTTTCAAGAGAAATTTTAAACTAAATTTGTTTTTTTTTCTTGTTTTTTTTTCCTTTTTTTTCTTTTTTTGGTAGTCGTTCTCCTTCTCATTCAAGAATTTTTTTTTTCTTTTTCTTTCTTTCCTTGTTTTCTTTGTATTTTTATCTTTAAGTATATCTTTTACAAATTGAAGCATTTATTTTTATATTTTGCTAATTTTTGACAATTATCTATTTTTACTTTCATTTTTAGCCTTTGTTCTTTCTTATAGATTTCATTTCTAGTTTGTAAATTTTTGTTTTATTTGTCTGTGTTGTTTTAGTTCTTTTATGTTTACTTTATTTTTTATTCTATTTCAGTTTATTAAAGATACCAAGGAATAGCTTAATTTGTATATAAGGACATTTTGTACTGTGAGCAACATGACATTTGTAAAAAAATCACTATTGTTTCATTTCCTAATTGAAATTTGTCAATAAAAATTCAGGATATAAATTTGTGGACTTTCATTCAGTTTTAAGCTTGACACGGATATGTATTGCGTGTTTTAAAATTTCATTACAGTTTCAAAATCAATCAAATTTTAAATTTTTACCCTAATTCTATATATTTAATCTATCTTGGTTATAGATTTTAATAATCTCAATAGGATCTCAATATATATCTCAATCTCTTTTTATAGCTTTTATTGTAAACCTTGCTTTTGGCTCGTTATTTAATTTCTAGCTTTGCCCACAAACATATTGTTTCTATTGAAACTTCATGATTAGGCCAACATTAACTTTTAAAGTATTAAAAAAAGTATATAAAAGCCTGCGCAAATAAACCTTATTTCAGTGTTGGTCATGAAATCTAAAATAAACCTTGAGAAGGTAAGTTTACCCTCGCTTTCAAAACGCTTTCTACTCTTGATTTGCGATCTTGGTTGATTCAATTTTAAAAGGTTTATTTAGGATTATTTTGTAAAGTCATTTTCAATCTCGATATAAAAGGGTTGTTTATGCAAGCATTATGTAAACCACATAGCGTGTAAACTAGCGTAGTTAAATTTAAGGTTGTTTCACACCTGCATGCAAATCATTTATAAACTTTGTCGGACTTTGTGATAAGGGATTTTGCAGACATTAAAATCAACTTTACACTGCTATCTGGGTATAAAACAGAAACTATACTTTACGGATTAGGTTTACATCCATTGTAGAATTAAAAATAATAGGAATTAATTAATAAGTAAAAAATACGAGTCACAAAAATTATCAGAAAAATTTATGTTTTACATAAAATTTATGTTTGATACTTAAAGTACAAAAGTTTAAATCAAAACTGTTATTTTAATTACACTTCAAATCAGATCAAGTGTATTTATTTATATCATTTCTAAAACAGGAAAAATGATCTTAATAAATATTTTTCTAAAACTTTACGTGTTTGAAATTATATAAATAAAATATTTTACTGAAAAAAAAATGAAAAAATAAAATTAACTTTTGTTATTCATACCAAATTTTTTCACGGAGAACAGCCTTTATGTGAATCTGAGGTAAAATTAAATTTAAAATTTTAACTAGTATAGTATACTCTTCTAAACACACAAAAGTTTTTTTACGAAAAAGTAGATTATCTTGACTCAATTTCATTTAGTTTGATTGGATTATAGTGTGTTTGCTCGTCAAAGAAGAAACGGAAGAAAACTCGTGTTAATGTGAAAATCTGATTAAATGAGGAAGTAACTTTGTTATTTGTAATAATGTCGAAGCTCTATTGAAGGAAGTTTGTGGAAACCTCACGAAAATTTTAAGAAAAATTCGTGAGGTTTCCTGAGTCTTTTATGCAGCATTAAATAAATCATACAATTTATTGTTTTTGATCCTTTTTCATTATGTTAATGCTTTATATTCTACAATTTTGAGCCCTGATTCAGCTTTGAGTTTCTTTTTAAATGGTTACCTAAGTAACGTAACTTTGATATCATTTTCTTTTATTGTTATAAGTTACAGTTTTGTTAGATTTTCCCCAAAAATTTATTACATTTTGCTGTGGAGTTAGTTACATGTAAACTATTTTCCATTATACATTATTTAATATTAATTTATAAGATAAATGCCAAAAATTTTTTAAGGAATCCAATCCTATAAATATATTTTTATATATTTATAAAAAATACATAGCTATTATTTATAATCACATCACATTTTACATTGTTTAATATTAATTTATAAGATAAATGTGAAAAATCTTTCAAGGAATCCAATCCTATAAATATATTTTTATATATTTATAAAAATTACATAGCTATTACTTATAATCACATCACATTTTACATTATTTATTATAAATTTTTAAGATAAATGTGAAAAATCTTTCAAGGAATCCAATCCTATAAATATATTTTTATATATTTATGAAAATTATCTAGCTATTATTTCTAATCACATCACATTTTACTCACTGAGCGAAAAAGTATGATCAAAACTACCGGAGTATGGTAATCTACCGGAAATTAAATCAGATCTACCATTATATGGTAAAATGATTTCGGTAAAATTAGCAACAAAATATAGCTTAAGAGTATGTGATAATATTTGGTAATTGTGGTAAAATTTCGTAGTTTTAGCATGATACCTTTGAGCATGGAGTAAAAAATACAATTTCAGTTTTGTATTTTTTACTAATTTTTTCTTTTAAATCTTAATTTCACTTTGATTTTGCTAGGATCATATTTGGTTGTATTTTTGGATCATATTGGATTATAACCGTTCACCAAAAAGAAAACTATGGTTAAAATTACTGCAATATTGTAAAATTTATCGCGTTTCTAGCTCTATGGGATCGGCAAAAAGCTTGGTAATTTTTACGGAAGAACTTTAGTAATAATTTTGGTGAAATAAGCAAAAACAATTCTATTTCATGAAGTATGATTAAGTTTATAAGTGTGGTAATTTAGTAATTTTATCACGATATCGTAGAAAATGACATAAAACCCATTTATCTGTTTAATTTCACTTCCAAGCTTTGAAATTTTTACTAGAAGTGTGGTAAAAAGAACAATAATTTTGAAAAACGTGATTTTCCAGAAAACAGTTATATTATGAAAGGTTAAAATTACTAAATGAATGTTTTAAATATCATATTTTTTGGCTCTTATTACCAGAATTATAGTTTTTTTCAGGCGAAATATCATCACCACAAAATATGGTAACTTGACCAGAATTTTTTTTTCTCCCCGCATATTTTACCAAAATTATAAAGGTTAATTATGTTCATTATAATTTCTATCTACAATGAAAGTGTTAAAACTAATAACAAACAAATGTTAAATTAAAATAAAAATTTGCACAAGCTGCTATAATTATTACCATTTTTATAAATATAATTTTAAGTGCAAAAAATCTCAAAATTAATCTGTATTTTACATTTTTGTTTCAAAAGTACCCTTCTCATTAAGTCTCCAAAACTGTTAAGGAATTTTGCGTGTTTGGCAAAAGGAATTTTGCATGCTTGGCATGTCTTTTGTTCTTTTTATCAAAAATTCCATTACCTGGTAAAAACATAGTACGGTAATTTCACTAGAGTACTTTTCTCCGTGCAGTATTTTGACTTCAACAGACTAAATATAATTCTGAAATCAATTACAAACCTTTATATTACAAAAGTGTTTTGGTAGATTGAATTATATGCTCATTCTATAAAGAGAATAAAAAAAAGCAATTTTATAACTGCGTTATATTTTTTTGCAAATGAAATTCCTTTTAAAAGGGCGTATAGGGCAATTGTTTTGAAACATTATGATCCAGTTTTAGCCTATAGTTATAGGTTGATTTTTTTTTAAGTGAAAGTGATTTTTAATTAATTTTAAAAGTTGAGCCAGAATAAAAAATACTATATACGCTGATATAACATAATATCAGACGAATTCTCCTAATACGTTAATAGTAGTTTACATATTTCATATGTTTATTTTATTAAAATATTCATCTAAGTAAACATCGAATTAATCTATGAACACAAATGTCACATTTAACATTTCATATATTCAATTTTAGATATAAATATGCTAAGATTTATGTGTATTTTACTACAAAACCCTGCATTTTTAAACGATTTTCAAGCACATTTTCTGATCTCCATCACTTTATGTGCCATAACAAAAATTCATCTGGGATTTCAAACATTTAAGAATTTAAGCCATTCAGCAATGCTAAAAGAAGCTATTGTGATTGAAGAATTCACAATAAATGGACCCAGCAGACATGAAATCGTATGGATTCGAAATCCATTTCGGTTGAATTCATTAAAAATAGAAACTAATCCCTTCTAGAGTATCTTTTCTTGCCTTTTTTCAGGAATTGGTACATCGTGACTCAAAAAGACGATTAAATTGCGAATCGGTAACGGAAATCCGATGGAATAGGATTTCCAAAAATATTTCTAACTTATTCAAAGGATATTATTTTTTAAATGAAACTATCTGAACTTCTTTCAAAGAAAGCAACTTTCAGAAGTTAGTATGAAAGTCGAAAGGAATATTTTATAAATTTTTATTTTAATGTCATCGTTTTGCTCATGATTTGTTTTCTACAAATAAAACTCTATCTATTTACAATGTTCTCTTATGAAAACAAATGTAAGTTTTATTCATTCAAATTATGATTGCTTTGTTTTTTTCTTTGCACAATATTTTATCTGGTAGTTAAAGCTAATATTTATGCTTTTATTTTTTAAATTACAGACACTGAGAAATAAATATAGTCAAAACTAATAAAATATGGTGTCAAATTTGTCATGTTTCTAGCTGCATGGGAACACCAGAAATTTGGTTAGTTTTCACCAAAGCACTTTGGTAATAGTTTTCGTATAAATATGGTTGAACAACATGTGAGAAAATTTATTAAATATGGTATAATTTGGTAGTTTTATCCTGATGCCTTAGAGCATGGGCTTAAAAAACCCATTTATTTGGCTAAATTTACTTTTCAGATTTGTATTGTTTACTAAATGTTAAGAAATAAGAACTATATATTACTAATCAGTTACAGATATCCGATGAAATAGGGTTTCTAAAAATATTTCTAATTCAAAGTATATTATTTCGGAAATGAAATCTGAATTGATTTTTCTTCACAGAAGCCAGTTTTCAGAAGTTAGTTTGGAAGTGGAAGAGAATTTATTATAAAGTTTTATTTGAATGTCATTGTAATGCGTAAAAGTTAGCATGCTTATTGCATGTATATTTTGGCCTTTATTTAAAAATACACGAATAGAATTTTGATAAAGTTGTACACTCTAATAACACAAAAATAAAATTTTCATTTTTGACGTTTCAGTGATCCTTGAACTGTATTTCGTTAATTATGAGAATCCTTTCGTCTCAAATCCCGCGATTTGTGACTCAACTGTAACTCTCAAATGCATGACGAAAATGTTTCCTCAACTTGGAACCTCAACGCAGTGCATTGTGGAAGATAGTTAACTAGATGAACGAAACTGAAAGGACT